TTCCAAAGATCATTCAGTGAAAGTTATTCATTTGTCTACTAACTAAATGTACAGGTTGATTCAAAAAGGTTCATCAAATTTCAAAATGATTTATTTCACTTGTAAATCATTACAGAACAACGCAGTAAATTGTAAATGGTTTAAGTGAGCATAAAGTTTAATATGTAATTTTACAAGTGCTCAATATGAACCTCTTCCAGCTGTACAGACAACGTCAACATTGATAGTCAAATTCATCCCATACTCGATTGAGCATGTCGGGCATCACTGTACTCACAGCTCTTTCAATGTAATTTCGGTGATCATCCAGTGTTGTGGAACCAACGCTGAATGCTCTGAGCTGTTGAAGGTTCACTGCCGACAAACATGACGTTGCATTGTTATGACGAATTCACTCTTATTGAAGTGTCAAACGCAAAACGCTTTCTGCTCAGGGGTCGCCATCTCCTCGCAGACTGAATGGAGCCATCTTCTGGTGACAGTCAGAAACTCTATGACCCCCTCTTTCAATTGGTGTGTGATTGGTTCCCAGGCGCCTCACAGTTGTAAAAATATGCCGCTTTGAAATTGGATGAATCTTTTTGAATCACCCTATAGTACCAAAAAATTCAGTATTTAGTTTGTCCACTCTTCTCCTTCATTACAGCATCCATAACATCTCCGAAGTTGCATTTTTCTTCTTCTCACAATCCAAGTGATCCCAAACATATTCAGTGCTGAAAAACTGCAAATCTGGCAACCCTACATGGTGGAAAGAACCAGTGAGTGAAACATGTGCATTCAGAAAACAGCAGTGTTTCTGGTTGCTGTAGTGTCCCTGTATACTGTTTTCCAACAGTTAAATGCAGTTTCACTATAGCAGCGTTTTCCGACTATTCTGTGCAGTTTTACTTGCATGGCTTTGCTCAGGCTTTGTACTAGAATTGAGCAGGCGCTGCTCCCCCCATCCCCCCTTCCGTTTTATTGGCATCCATGGATATGCTCTTTCTTGATCAGAGTTGATTTGTAGGCTTGTTTCCTGCTGAAGCCGTTGCTAATTCTGCTGAAAGACACTGATTCCTTACCAGTAGGAGTCCGTCTGCTCGGAGTAAGCAGCTAGCTGCAGGTGAATGGGCCTTTAATTCACATAGCTGGCATCAGCTAAAACAAAACCTCTAATAACCTGCTGTGGCTACACTTACCACAACTCACATGTTCAACTCAAAGGTGAAAAATCTCTGGTAATGAGCAGCCACTTTCACAATGAGCCCTGTGTTACGTTTTCAGAAGCTTTTCAAGTCAACTGTCCTGCCGTCATGTTTACATAGTCTATGTACATTCAGGTACAATAGATATAGTGTTGATACATTCACTGTGACTAGATGTGACTGTACGCAGTGCCATGGGACAATATATGATGATATTTCCCCTCATTTGAATACATCTCACAACAAATTAAACCAGAAAAAGTGTCTGACTGTCCTTGTTTAGTAGCGATTTTCTGTTCCAAGACAATACAGTCATTAACAGTTGCCTTTTTCACTGCCAATTGCTGCCAATTTAGACTATTACCTTTTGCATCAATGCAAAGCAAAGAGGAGTTTAAAGGCAGTGTTCAACAGTGGTAAATCACTTAGGATGCATAATAATGGAGGAAATGGCATCCTACAGTCTATACATGAATATTAACATAAGGCTCGTTGTAGTCTTACCTGATTAGGCTCAAAGGAACTGCAGGTATTAATGTGAGACTTTTACTGGGTGGAAAAGGTTTTCTCTCTTATAAATGTGCTACTAAGAACCTGATGAATTTCTTCAGGTTCTTAGTAGAGAGCACTACATAATAAAGATCTGTGAACTACACACTTAAAAAGATGGTTCTACAAGTGTTCCTTGGTAAAGAAAATGGTTCTATTTAGAACCATGAGCACTCAAAGAACGATTAAATATTTCTATGCATCATTAAAGCGTTCCTTAGATTGATGGAGAATGTGCTGTGGATGGCTCTATGCAGAACATTTTGAAAATGGTGCTATATAGCACCAAAAAGGGTTCTTCTACTGTTACAAGCTTGACATCATTACAACAAAAGAACCCTTTTCGGTGCTATATAGAACCCTTTTTAAAAAGGTTCGATATAGAATCATCTACAGCACATTCTCCATCAATCTGAAGAATCCTTTCACAATGCAAAGAAACCTTTGATAATGCAAAGTGTTTTTTGAGTGTATACGGTTCTGTATAGAACACTGTTCTTTCCTAAATAAGAACCATCTTTTGTGAAAGTGCAGTTAAAAATAAAAAAATCAGTGTTACCCAGTGTGAGATGTTTTAAATTTATAAGACAACGTGAAAGGCTACAGTTATATTACTAAATCTAGTATATACATATACTACATATATATATATATATATATATATATATATATATATATATATATATATATATATATAAAAAAAAAAAAGACAAACAAAAAAACAAACAAACAAACAAACAAACAAACAAAAAAAACAAATGGCAACATAAGCCAATACATCTGATAAAAGCCTAGAATCAAAACAGGACGTATGGAGTAAATGCAGCTTAAAATTTTAAAAATATTACAATTTCCCAAACTAAAGGTACTAAAAACGTAACCCCGAGGGCACCACCCCAGAGACTGTTTTATACATTTCTCTGAGAGTGTAATACATAGATATCAAAAAGTATGAAACAATTACTCCATTAAGCAGTGCCTACAGCATTTTTTTTTACCATACTTGCTTTACTTTCTACCTAATTATGCATTATTTTTTTCCTTCACTGAGAAATAAGCCACTCAGCTGCTCCTGTTTCATGTGAATTGCTGATTGCTATGAATGTCATTCTTTTATGTGTTATGTGCACGAAGCTTAATCATAGCATGATTATCTAAAGCTGGGTTAACAGAGAAGGCTGTTAGCTATCGTTGTAAATTGAGTTAACTATGGCTGCATTTATGAAGCTGAAACATGTATCTCTATGCTGAACATGCTTCGTGAGACAAACCCCAGAATTCACACAAATACACTGATCAGGCATAACATTATGACCACCTCCTTGTTTCTACGCTCATTGTCCATTTTATCAGCTCCACTGACTATATAGGTGCACTTTGTAGTTCTACAATTACAGACTGTAGTTCATCTGTTTCTCTGCGTACTTTGTTAGCCTCCTTTTACCCTGTTCTTCAGTGGTCAGGACCTTACGGACCCTCACAGAGCAGATACTATTTGGGTGGTGGATCATTCTCAGCACTGCAGTAACACTGACGTGGTGCTGGTGTGTTAGTGTGTGTTGTGCTTGTACAAGTGGATCAGGCACAGCAGTACTTGCTGTACAGTATGAGCTAATCATCCTCTAGTCCTTCATCAGTGGTCACAGAATGCAGTGTCAGTGTTACTGCAGTGCTGAGAATGATCCACCACCCAAATAGTACCTGCTCTGTGAGGGTCCATGGGGGTCCTGACCACTGAAGAACAGGGTAAAAGGGGGCTAACAAAGTATGCAGAGAAACAGATGGACTACAGTCTGTAATTGTAGAACTACAAAGTGCCCCTATATAGTAAGTGGAGCTGATAAAATGGACAATGAGCATAGAAACAAGGAGGTGGTCATAGTGTTATGCCTGATCGGTGTAAGGTGGACAGTAAGAGAGGGACTGGCATTGGTGAAGTGACAGTATGTTTTCACTTCTCTCAACTACACTCTCCATGTTCAAAGAATTTAATTATTAGCTGACTTTAGCATATTAGAAAAAACACATATTTTTGCACTAAATTTTATGCTTTTTATTTATTTATGTATTTAACTAGGTTAAATTCAGCAAATAAACAGTAATTGTGCATTAAATGTGCAGAAGTGTGTTCTCTGTAGAGGATGATCTATTTTTGGAAAATCAACGCGTCATTTGGCCAGTGGCCAAACTTTTAGATCGGACTGTATTACCAAAAAAATCAGTTGAGCTGAAGATGCTGGAATATTCCATTATCTCCCTATCATACGCATGTTTTCTTATGCTTGATGAGACTAAAAGCTCTGCCACTGTGGTCACTGTAGCAGCAGGAGAATGTTTTGTTGTTTTTTTTCTCTCCTACAGCTTTTATACTGTCTCTCTGCTGAAACTCTCTCACTCTCCTGAAAGTTCTTCTAGTGTGTCTTTTATCCGCTGAATGGTTGCTATGGTAACAAGGACAAAAACATATATTGAAAACACTCTGTATCACGATCCGTAGTGTGCCTGTATGTCCTGAGCTCATGGCACTAGAACATTTTTCTGTGTATACAGTATGCAAAAGTTTTGGCACCCCAGTAAATAATGTTTTACTGATTTTCTAAGTGAAAATAAGTTAACACACTTCTACGGATTGTAACACACAATTACGGTTTATGGCACATTTTATATTTCATGCTACAAATATTTGGGCACAATTTCTAGTTATTCGCTATGTTTAACATATTGGAAAGTTTTAAATGCATGAAAGTATACGTCAGTACATACAGTACAAAAAAGAGAAAGCATGAGGGGCCAAAACTTTTGTATTTAACTGTCTGCACAGAACAATTTTCCAGTGCCATGCACTCAGGACATGCACGCACAACAGGTCATGAGTATGTTACTCATACACTGTTAGAAATAAAGTTTCTGTGCAGGTACATTTTTCGTTCATCAAGGTACAAACAAAGGTACAACAGTGGTTTTAAGGTCCAATTGTGCACCTTAAATAAGTTTTTGCCAGAGGAAAAGTACATATTTGCACATTTTCATAACCTAATGTTTTAAAACAGAACAATAAAATAAAAAGCCTGGAGACAGACGGGGTGTGTGGAATCAATACATCATCATGTAATTTCAGTGGATTATGGTACAATTATGTTCCCTGACCAAAGGTACTGAGATAAACCCTTTAGGGTACCACCCCAGTGACAAAAGGGGTACAGTGACAGTTTACAACCTTTTTTTCTAAGCATGTAGCAACCATTCAAAAATAAGACAAACCTCTGGATCTTAGAACATGAATGTTTATTAGAGTTACAATTATGTTGGCAATGACTAGTAAAGACCAGTCAAATGTACCATTTAATCACTGACAGTTTGTATCTCCTTATTTAACAGTCATACAATTATGTACTGAGATAAACTGAGCATCATTTTTGATAAAAGTCCTATGATGTACTTGCTTTTACAACACCTTAAGTGCTGCCTTCCTTATCATGTAAAATATTTACATAACAGTCTTTACATTGCTGCAAAAGTAATATTCAACGCTTTTGCTTTCCACACATTTTTCACATTATAGATTATACTTAGATAATAAAAGGTGGCCATATTTAAAAAGAAAAATCAAAGAAACAGCATGTTAATAGTGTAAATTACACAATTATCATTAAAAGTAGTAAACTGGTAAAGATAACACTAATTATCGCGACAGGCGGTTCAGCTTATTGCCAAAAACCAACTGAAGCAGTTGATACAGTAACACACACGGTCCAGAGGGTGGCAGCACTATTCTTTTGTGCGCTCGCTTGGAAAACAAGGACACTTAAAGCACAATAGGCTCCACAGCTTTTAAATTCAGGTCATTCGCAGAACTAAAGCAGAAAAAAAAGATTACGGTTGTATAGTGTGAAATAGAATAAAATTGAAAACTGTCCTAACAACAAATAGAACAAATTCAAAAAGCTTTCAAAATAAAAAGCAACATGAGTGAAGTACTCTCACAGATGAACATGCAAATTCTAGTCCATGTTTGATATATGCAGCTCATATTTGATGTGAGAATATTTTAATGCCGTAAGTCTCTAAATAAAACCAGTGCAAAAGCAACGGAATGATCACACAAATGGGTGCTGTATTAACTCCACACTGGCTGCGCGCTCCGCTATATGGACCCAGCCTGCTCTACATCAATCATTGTTCTGTTCTTTAATCAGGTACTTAAAGGAATATTTCAGCAATTTCATCCCAATCTCCATTTGTCACATCCTTAGTATGTGGTCCATTATAGTGGACAACACTCTAAGCAGAAAAGAACACAGAACCTATTGACTCAAGACTCATTTAAGATAGAAGTCATCAGGCAGCTGCTTGGTCAGTGAATGTTTGTGCAGAATCCTTCACTTCATGAATTCATCAGCCAAAGGTACCTCAACAGATTTGAAAATATGGCTGAATTAATTAATTGATTCATCATTTGCATATTAAAATTGCAATCTGAAAGACCAAATTTACAAATCGTAAGAGCTGGAATTCAACACTATTCAACACAGTCTTAACAAGCTTTGAGTGCAGAAAATCTAACGTAATAATGCAGAGCTTGTAAATTGGCAGTCTAGCACACTACAGTCTGTGTTCAAGCCTTGCTTTAAAAAAAATGGATGTGCTCATCTTCTTGGAGAAAAAACAGACTAGAGCTTAATTTATAGAAAAACCACAATTAGATCTTCCCCCCAAATCGTTCAGCCCTATTTGATCAGAAATTGTCATGTCCATCTCATCTTAAGGCAGTGGTCTCCAATCCTGGTCCTGGAGAGCTACTTTCCTGCCAAGTTTAGTTCCAACCTGTATCCAATAAGCTGCCCCGTCCCTCACTCAACTCTAATACATCTGATCCAGCAAATCAGGGACTTGGGAATAGGTTGATTAGCTGGAGCAGGTGTAGCAAATTGTGGGTGGAACTCGCTCTGCAGAAGGGTAACTCTCCAGGACCAAGGCTAGAGACAGCTGTCTTAAGGCCTGCAGTGTTAGCAGTAATGGTTATGAAATTGTATAGGCTAGACACTGATTTCAAACTGTCCACTGTCTTCTACTGTATGTGAGTTTTGGGTCAGTAAGTTTTGCGTTCCTTTCTCAGTACAGGGAAAAGTGTCAATATTACTCTCCATGGTAATCAACAGTACCACACACTGAGAGAAAGTTGAAACTAAGCAGCCTGAGAGAAGGTTGAAAAATGCTGGAACATTCCTTCAAATTCATCTGTACTAGTGAAGAAATGTGAGCTTTTCTGCACCAGAAATAAGGAAACTGTAGTGGGCACCATCTTTCTTCTGTCTTTAAAATGTTCTCCACAACTCAAAAGCTGTCTTGAGCAGTGAGTCTAGCTATTCCTCAAACCGCTGTTGAAGAAGCAACACAGCTCTGTAGTACCATATCTAAAAAAACGCCAGGATGGCTCCATCACCCTGTCTGTACCTTGTCCTCCTGAGCCCATGCTGGACTGTGGCCGCTGGGCAACTGTGTAGCAGGAGTGCAGCGGTGGCTTTTATAAGTGCCTAAATGGCGGAAGCTTCGGCCGCACTGGTAACAGGAATAGGGTGTAGCACCGCTGTGAATGCGCATGTGTGTGTACAGGTTGCCTAGCTCTTTAAAGCGCCGGCCGCACTGGGGGCAGGCGTAGGGGCTTTCGCCTGTGTGCACACGCTGGTGCCGTTTGAGTCCGGACAGCACGGGGAAGCCTTTCCCACACTGAGGACAGGGGAAGGGGCTCTGGGCGCCGCTGTGGCTCAGCCGGTGGCTCTTGAGGCGGGCGGCGTGCCGGAAACGTTCTCCACACTCGGGGCACACAAAAGGCTTCTCACCGGTGTGGATGCGCTGGTGTTGTCGCAGATTGCCCAGGTAGTTGAAGTGGCGGCCGCAGTCACCGCACTCATAGCCCCCCTCCACCTTCCTCTCCCTGGGCACCCGAACTGGTGGAACCTCCGAGCCCCCCGCAGCCCGTCCCACTTCACCGTCAGCGCCCTCAACGCGGGATGCGGAGGAGGTGGACTGCATGGCCTGGATGCTCTCGTCCCGATGCATCAGCTTCATGTGCTCCTCCAAGAATGTGGAGTCGGGGCAGAGAGTTCCACAGAATGGGCAAATGAAGGTGTGAGCAGAGAAGTGCTGTCCTGAGGAGAAACAAGAGGCAGAGACAAAAAATAGAGCTTTATGTTGAGGCAAAACGTTTGCTTTTTGGATGGGGCTGCACTATTTCTGCCTTCTTAGTCACAACCTTACATCCTAATTGGCTGCATAGTATTTGTCATGCAAGTGTTTATGACAAGATATACAGAACTGTGCAAAGGTCTTAGGCATCCAACCACATTGTTTGAAACCATTTATCTCTGTGACAAGTGCATTTTGCCAATAAAACAGTACAAATCATTAGTATAGATGTAAATAAATATAAACACAGTAAAAAGTCATCTGAAGAACAAAGTTTGATTCCAGATTTCTCCTACCATCATATAGATTTGTTAAATTCCATCACCAGCATACTTGATCTAACATGGTTAAGCACTGATTAGACAAACCAGGAACTGGATGATAAATACTGAGGTTACTACTGTCTTACAATTTGTATTAATGTTGTTTGTGTTTATTCTAATATTAGTATTTTTCCTGAGCAAATAAACGCTTACTGCCCAGATAAACAGCTTTTTAATTTAAATTTTCTTATGTGCTTAAAACGTTTGCACAGTACTGTATATACAAAAAAAAATATGTAACTATGTACTAGGTGGCAAATTAACGTACACATGCCTGCAGCATCTGGTGGAAGCTCAAATTTTAGAAAGTGTCCTGTATATTCATAGCCCCCAAACTGTATAAGTTCACTAAGACCTCTATAGAACACTACTGTCATTAAAATCATTAGTAACATCAATTATGTTATAAAAACTCAAATTTATTTTACTTTTTTGACAATTAAACAGTCTCTTTTTTTAGGTCAGCAAGTCTTAAAAAACAATAAAATGAAAAAAAAAAAAAACACTTTGAGAACAAGAGAATTATTGATGTAAACTGTCCTAAGTTTCTTTCTTTCTTCCATTATTTGTTGGCCTTTTATTTGTTGCTTTGGGAGGGTATGATGGTGGCATTTAATGCTGTACAACGCCATCTGCTGCTTGTCTCGGGTGATGCATGCACATTTCAAAAATGGTCATCAGCCAGTCAAACAGTGACTTAGTAAAAGACATCACCTCTCTTAAGTGAATCAGTGTTTATTAGCCTGTACGCCTGTGTTTTTCCCATCTACCTACAATGAAATGTAATGAAAACCCTAGTTGTGATTTCAGTATCTGTTCACATCCCTAACTGTACATGAAAAAGTTCTTACCAACAGAGACATTTTCTAGTTGAATATATAGAACACCCTGTGACGCTTCAGTAAGGTATCAGAGCTTTATACTCTTGTGTCCGCAGGGAATCACAAAGCCCAGCAGATATGCTGCTTTGCACAGAGACATGTACACTGTCTTTCAGATACAGTATGAGTTTTATAATGTTAGGCATGGCTATTAGCCATTTTTGCCCCTAAACCAAAAAACATGTGCACCCTTTAATCCAGACCAAGTGCCCCTCTAGATTACTCCCTGGAGGAAAATACCACACACTTGAAAATGCTACTCTAATAAAAATTTTCTTTAAAAAAATAATAATAAAATGATATCGTTGATAGTATTTAGTGAATGTTTTTGGCTGGTGAAAGTGAACTGGTAGACAACCTTTAGAGCACTCACCTGGATCTAATCTGTCCATACTGTCTCCCACAGGGCTGCTCCTGTCATCCCCTGAAGAGGGGTGAGAATCCAGGGGAAAGGAAGCAGAAGGCGTGTCAGAGACCAGCCCCAGCCCTCCTCTCCCTTCTTCTGACTCTTCTACCTCTTCATCAGCCTCTCTGGCAGCTGTGACATTCTCACACTTCGACTCAGACTCACCTGGGTGGACAACAAAGCCATGATTTTGTTTTAGAAACCATTTAGCATATTTGTCACACAGACAACAGTTGTCAATGCGTGGAAGACAAAGGGCCTTAAGCAGTTTTGTACTTTAAAACAAAATGATATGTAATTAACATCACATCACCCAATATAAATCTGTGCTATTTCAGGGTAGATTTGTTAAAGGATTGAATGGATTCATTGTTTTTTTTTCCCCCTCTATGATATCTGAACCTGGATTTTCTTTCAGATAGTAGCCTAACACTAATATCCATTCACACTGATCAACCTGGGCCCAGCTTCCGAAAAGCATCTAAGTGTTAAGATCATCTTAACTGGTAGAGAGAGCATTTAATGTGATGCTCACTGAACCATTTAAGAATCATCTTCATGCAAAGATGCTTTTGGGGGTCCCAGCCCAGATTTTTATTTTTTTTTGCTGTTGCTCGCATTTCTTATTTTCAGAGTTTTCAGCCTTAATCATTGTATTTGAGAGCTGATCTTTTTACTTTTCACCGCAACTTTCAGCACTTCGCTGAGGTGACAGCACCTAAAAATGCACGTTTTTCAAAATGCTTCTATATAGCATATACCTATAAAGGGTTCTTCTATTGTTACAATTTGACATCGTAACAGTTGAAGAACCTTTCTTGGTGCTATACAGAACCATTTACAACACATTCTGCACCAATTTGAAGAACCATTTCACCATGCAAAGAACCCTTTAAGCATGAAATGGTTCTATACAGAACTATTGGCTTTACTGAAAAACCTTTGAAGAACCATCTCAATAAGTGTGGTTTAGCCTGCTCTGCTCTGCGTCCGTCTCAGACAGCTCTACCTTTAAAGTCCGCTGAGTTCAGCTCCACTCCTGCCATCCACTCGTAGTCGTAGAGCCGTTTGCTCCCTGAGGGCAGCATGCTGAAGAGGTCCTCGGCCCCCGTGTCGCTCCCCGGCTCTGTGGGTCCTCCAGCCCCCATCCCGCTGTCCGTCCACAGGCTCCTCTCGGGCTCCGCTCCACTCTGACTCAGCTGCTGCTGCTCACTGTCCACTTCAGCACCGCCGCCGCGCGCGTTCTTGTCCTTCATCAGATAGTCACAGATGGCGTTGATGTTCTCCTTCTTGACCACCGGCGCTCCGGTTTTCGCCTTCTTCTGGTCTGAGCCGTATTTCTGCCCCAGCAGCTCTGCTCTCCTAGAGAAGGCGGCCGTGTCCATCCCCGGCAAACCCACCTCGCCCCTGCCGTCTCTCTCCACACACTCCAGCCGCGCCTTCAGCAGCTCCATCTCCTCGGTCTTCTCCCTCAGCTCCATCTTCAGGACCCTTATCCGCACGCTCACGATTTTCCGTATTTCCGACAGGGCCGCTTCCAGCACCACCGTGATGTTCCTGCCGAGGTGCTCCGTGATCTGGCTGACGGAGCACAGCAGCTCCTCCTCGGTCTCCAGCTCGGAGAAGCTCTCCTCAGAGCGAGCCGAGGAGCCGCCGGCCTCCAGCAGGGCGGGCTGAGACTCGGAGGACTGTCCCGTTTCAATAAAGCCATGGTTCCTTTTACGGCTCATATTTAAACGGTCAGTTCGAGTGGACACCGCACTGTTTTGGACGCTCAACGCCAATGGACACTGCGAGCACCGTAGAGTTCAGACACAACTTCCGCCTGCACCGGAAGTTGCATTACCGAACTGCGCCCTCTGTCTACTTTCTCTGTGTATGCACTGATATGGAGCTAATGAGCCAAAACAGCAAACAAACAAGACGTGTTCTGAAAATTACATGACCCACTGTTCTGTTTATCCGCTATGTTTTATCACTAAATTAGCTTCATATCAATGACTGTTGATTCTGAGCTTCTTTTGAAGGGTTTTCAGTGCTCTCCTCAGAATAAAGTTTCATTTATGAGCTGCTTAGCTTTGGTTCACACTCTGGTTCGAGTTGCTCCATGACGAGGCTGTTTTGTGTTCCCAAGTTCCCTTAGAAGGGATTTTTCAAAATTTCTTCCTAATTAAATGGTTAAGATGTAAACAAAGTCATTCAGGGCGGTTTGGCGTGAAATGCTCATGCTCAAATGATCAGTTTATTTTAATCTATTAATGGTGGAGGGATACATGAATAGTGTTCGGCAGATAGTCCTCAAAACTTTTTTTTTCAGATGTACCACTATTTTACTCCTGTCAACATTGCATATAAGAACTCACAAGATGTCTGTAGGTTCACTGGTGGTTTTGGATAGTAACTAATATGGATATACTTGCATTTTAGACATGGTGACCACCACTGTAAAGAGTTGGTAAGTTTCTCTACAAATGACCCAGCTAGAAATATTTTACTCTAAAAGTGTTCTGAGAACATTACACACATGTTGTGTTAATGTTTTCACTGGGAGTTTTTTTTTTTCTTCCTGGAATGTTCTTCTGGGAACTTTCTCTAAAAACTTTGTCATGTAACATAATCTGTGGCCCTGACAACATCCACAAAACATCCTCTGAATGTTGCAGGTAACACGTTATGTCTTATTTAACATATAACCCATATATGTACACAGGAACATTATTTTTAAAAAAATGCTAAACATCCTTATAATATTCTTTGAACATTAGATTAAAAGTTTTCTTTAAACATTATTAGAACTTATAAGTAAAGTTAGCCAAAGTTAGGATAACGCTCCCCGCTAGCTGGGGAATCATTTCACATCACACTACTCTGAATGACTTTGTTTACACCTTAACCACTGAATTACGCAGACATTTAGAAAAAATGGTGGAATTTCCCTTTAAAGTGTAATTCCAAGGACTTTTTACAAATTCCTGCAGAATTACATGGATAAACAGTCATTCAGAGTGGTTTGATGTAATAGAAAGTTACTACATGAAATGTTTTAGGGAAATTTTGAGAGAAGGTCTCGTAAAGGTTATTTCAAATCCATCCATGGCACGTAGTTACATGCAGGGTGTTGTAAGGAACAATACTGAAAGATTTTTTTTTCAGATTTACCTCTATTTTATCCTTATCAACATTCCATATAAAAACTCACACCACATAGGTAGATTCACTGATTATGTTGGATAGTGAATAAAAAGGCTATATTTACACTGTAGACATAACCCCCATTTCAGTATCACTGCAAAGAAAATCAGAATCTGTAGTTTCTCTGTAATGAACAAGTTTGCATCAAAACACTTCGAATGACTGGTTACATCTCAGGGCAGAAAAGATTTAAGAATCCCCTTTAATATGATACATGAAAGGGACTTGCAAAATGGTTGAGGTTATGGGGTCACTAAAGGTCATACCACAAAACACCCTACAGCAGCTAACATACATTTTCAAATTGATTCCAAATACATACTTTTAAATCTGCCTTCATAGTTATTTAACTGATTTGCAACTAATAAAAGATTACATCCTTTAAGAAAGTCTAAGGTAGCAAGGTATTACAACCAAAACTACTTGCAAACATTACTATACTTAAAGGACAAAGGCAGGCTAATTACATCATAACATCATACAGTCGACATACAGTCGAATGCAAAAGTGATGCAAAATGCATGTTGGTTCTGCACATGTTAATGCATTACTGTTTATTTGCTGATTTTAACATATTGGGAAAAGATAAAATATTAAATGTGGCCAGTGCAAACGTTATGGCATGTCTTATATTTGATATTTTATGTAAATAATTAGAAATTGTGCTCTGACATTTGCAGGAAAATGCCATATTCAAGTTAGCTCCCAGTAGATATACAACTTATATTTACATAGAAAATCAACAAAACATTTTAATAAAAAACATTTAAATCTTTGCATACAACTGCATGTTTTCTTTACATTAAAAATTGACATAAAACCTTCAACATATCTTGTAAACATTTCAATACTTCCTTTCACTTGATTGATCAATTTTCTTGTTTACTGGTCTGTAACAGAAGGATAAACAGTCCCCTTTTTATGCTGACAGTGGATCGAGAGGGTGAAACAGGGTCCTATGAACTTAGAGTTGTTTTTAATGAGGCAACACAGGGCCCAGGGGATATAGGGTTGACCCCTTCTATGACAAAGCCTGATGTTAAAAAGTGAACTGGATTAAATAGAAAGAGTTTCTTTCTTTCTTTATTTGTCTTTCTTTCTTTCTTTCTTTCTTTCTTTCTTTTAGAGTGACAGAATAACTATTTCCATGTTCTGTTCAGGGGCAGTCTTTGCACTTGCCAAAGATAGGCAGCCTAAGGCCTCCATCAGCCAAGGACCCGATGAAAATACAAATTAGATATGCTGTACAGATTGGCATTAAACTAACCTATTCCAAAGTACATATCCATTTTAAAAACAGCTTTCATTTGTGATTGTAGTGATTGTTTTCAGTAACTGCAATGCAGCCCCACCCCACGGTTATGGTTATAATGGATTGCTTCATGTTGTTACATGTTGATTTAACTGCATAAAGACAGTTTAAAATCTACATTGTGGAGAGATAGTTCTACTGTATGATTTTGTAGTTGTTAAAAGGGAAAAATCAAATACAGTTATCCCATAGCACCAGAGAAACGCTAAAAGGTAGTTACATCTCACTTGACCCCTGCAATGGGATTATGCTACTCATTAGTTCCTGAAAAAAAAATCTTATTATTTATCAACTAAATGTGCATCCAGGGGGCCCAATTCCTATCTTTTGACTAGGGCCCCATAATCACTAAATCCACTCCTGGTTCTGTTAGAATAAATTTAGTGCCATAAACCATACCTTCATAGTTTGTTGGAACTGCAGGAAACTGCAGCTCTGAGTGTTATGATGCAAATTCATTGCAGTGTACTGTGAATGAAGCAGCTAAATTATTCACTTTTCAAATTATAGCCTATCATAATTTGCCAGTCTTTTTCAGTTATGTCAGTCAAACAATCTTTTTTCCACCTACATTTCCCAAGTTGAGAAATATGCAATTTCCTTTAAGTAGGCCTATTTAATGGTTAATGGGATGAACCGGTTGGTAGATTTGTACTCACAGTGTACAAATATACTATATAAATTATAAAAATTATGTTTTGTGACATATTGAACAGAAACACCCCAGAAAATCAACAGGCAGTTCCAGTGACTGTTTGTAACATCATGTTTTCATAGCCCTTTACCTCAGGCTGTACCTTATATAGGCTGTGCCAAATACTATAATACCCAACCGCTGAGTTGATTTCTACTGTGGGGGATGGACCCTTTTTCCCTCTGTAGAGCACTTTCACCAGATTCAGCAGATCAGCTCAAGCCACTGAAGGACTAACATCACAATGTGGCTGCACATCTCCCTGATCTCCCTCTATGGAGTCTTTATCTGTAAGTGTAATGTTGACTTTCTCTTATGCAATTTGCTTTTGTATGGTAGTCTTTAAAAACCCACACCAACAATGAAGAAACAAGCAAACAAAGAAGTTGCCATATTTGAAAATCCTTAGAAATGTTCTGCTGCTCAGGCATTTAAAACTTCCTTATAGTGTTATGTGCTTTTATTTTTTAGTTGTAACAAAGGCGGCAGAAATTCAGAGCCTACGCCAGATCATCTCTGCTGAACTTGGAGCTTCTGTTTCTCTTCAGTGTTCTGTTCCAGTAAAGGTGTCCCTACTCTATTGGTACAAACAGTCTATTGGAAATAAACCCCAGCTTCTAGTAACAGTTCCCAAATATGGATTTGTGGAATTCTATGGTGAATTCAAAGACAATCCTCGATTTACAGTGGCAAGAAACAGTGGAATAGCCAATCTAAGCATCTTGAATACTATACCATCTGACACTGCTGTATACCACTGTGCACAGTTTAATGCTGGCATTATGAGTTTTGGAGAAGGAACTCTGCTTATTTTACCAGGTATTGACATCATTCATTTTACAATTTGTCCAATCTGTGTGCTCAGAAATATGCCACAGCACTGAGAGGGAATTAAACTTTGATAAGAAAATCACAGCCTTATGGAAATCACCAAGGGCAGCATTTATAAGACTACGTGAGCTTTTTGTGACAACTCACATAAAGCTACATAAACTTCTAGAAAGGATTATTGCAGCAAGCATTGGTTGTCGTAAAGGGTGCTTTTGTACATTTTGATATTATTTCACATCTACAAGTGTTATGACAGCTGACATGTTTGTCAAAAGCTCGTGCAAGTGCGATATAGCCTTCTGAATGTTTCCTTTCACTAAAGAGTTACTGCTTTGTGTTGAAGCAGCGAAATTTAAGTATTAAGTTTAAAGCGTTCAAATCTACAGACTGGTTTTTAAGAAATAGTTTTTACTTGCTCACAACAATTGCATATATTTATACTATTTATTTATACAATTTCTTGTCAAGATGCTGAATATAGCCACCACACTATTCTCCAGAAGCCCATGTCATACCAAGGTCAACAAGGAGACAGTGTAAATTTTCAGTGCACAATCCACACCAGTGTATCTAATGGGAAACACAGTGTGTACTGGTTCAGACATGGATCAGGAGAATCTCATCCAGGAATCATTTACACTCAAGGAAACAGGAGTGATGAGTGTGAGAAAAGCTCTGAGACTGATTGTTCTACACAGAGCTGTGTCTACAAACTCCCCAAGAGAAACCTCAGCCTCTCTGATGCTGGAACTTACTACTGTGCTGTGGCTGCATGTGGACAGATACTGTTTGGGAATGGCTCAAATCTAAAAGTCGAAGGTATTACTTGGCTTGTATTTCAGCTGTGTTTCATTGTGGCAGTGATGAATATGCTTTTAATGGGATAAAAAAGATCTTGGAACTATGTTGATAGATCATGTTTTATTAAATTATGTTGTAATAATGAAAACTAGAAATAAATAAAGTGAGAACCACTTAGAAAGTACATTTTCTGTGCTTGTTGAGTTGTTCATGTTCAATTTTTTTGGTGCTGTTCACATTGAAAATATCATTGAAACCGTACACGAGTGATTCCACTGTGGTATATCTTCAAAGTTTTAGATTTCTTCAAAGCTCTTTCATTCTGTTTCTCACAGAGCGCTGTGAGGAGAATCATCTCCTTATCTACTCACTGGCGGCAACATTAGCCCTCTCCTTGGTTTTAATAGTGGTATTTCTTGTCATTCCCATTAACAAAACGAAGAGTATATGTTGCCAGAAGTGCAGAGGTAACTGATTTATTTATTTAATTATTAATTGTTTTTCCAATTTATTGATGACATTTATTGGGAAGTAAAAATAGTTGTGGAGGAATATTTCACGTTTTGTTGCAACTATAATATTGATGTATTCATCTATCTATCTATCTATCTATCTATCTATCTATCTATCTATCTATCTATCTATCTATCTATCTATCTACAGAATTATCATCCCAGCCAAATAATGAGCCCTCGATCCCAAGGGCTGATGTGCAGGTATGTGAGGAACACTGCTCTTTTGCTCTTTCTCAGCATTCAGTCTCTTCAGCTCTCTTTTCTTTAAAATAGAAAATAAAATAAAGAATGTCTGTTTCAAATGAAAAAAATTAATATATTTTCTTTGTGCTCATAACCTCAAATACAAATATCATACAATTTTCCAGAGTGTGGAAATATGATATACGCACAGAATGTGCTTTTGTCATATTCTATGGGTACAGTTTATTAAAAATGCAAAACTATGTTCATATATTTATGTTTACAGCTTTTAACTAGTATATGTTCAAATTTAGGAGGAGCATGAAGAAGACTCAGACACACCGAACTATGCGGCTCTCAATTTAGTCAGGAAGAAAGCCAAAGGCAGGAGAGAGAGGAAACCTGAAGAGACAGTTGTTGTCTATTCTTCAGTTAGATGTAAAAACGGCCAAATGACTTAGCTTTTATTATGGTTTTAGTGTATTCTGTATGCTTTGTGTTGAGTGTACAAAGTTTAATGTTTTTCAACATGTTTCTTTAAAGTTTTTTTTTTTTTTACATTGGATCAAATCTGCCTGCCTGCAGTGATCTTTGATTTTGTAATTGCCTCTGTCAAACTCTAATGCTGCATTCAAGTCAGAAACTGGAAAATACCAGTTTTCCCACCTGTAATTGTGCTCAAATGGACAACAAAGTTTTATATACAACTGGTAAAATCAGAATTTTACCATCACACACAAGTTTACAAGACATATAATGCAACCTTTCACCTTTTACACAAGTAAAAAATGCTAACCTTGCAGTGAATGTTAAAAAATACATGACTGACAAACTTCTTCTAGATCTATGTGTATGTGTATTTTAAACACAACAAATAAAAGCAGTATTCTCCAGACCTCCATGTTTTTTTCCGTGTGATGGGTGTATCTATGAATGAGCACCTGAACAGAGTAAAGTCGTATTCCTTAGTTAACCATCTGGTATATACAACCTTCCAGTGAGCACCTGAATGCAGAATAATTGCTGAATATAAACGAATTCTTTTATTTCTCACTGCTATACACACACACAGATCAGACATAATATTAAAACCACCTCCTTGTTTACACTCATTGTCATTGACAGTGTTTAAAAACTCAGTGTGTAATTGTGGAACTACAAATTGCTCCTATGTGGTAAGTGGAGCTGATAAAATGGACAATGAGCATAGAAATAAGGACCTACAGATCATTGTACATGGAGAGCAGACTGCATTAAAACAGATCTGATTTTTAATTCATTTTTATTTAAGATAATCATCATGTTTGTTGTATTGTATAACAATGCAGGTATTGTAATAATAAGCAATTTGTCAAGGTTTAAAAACCTCTATACACACTAAATGTTTGGTAGATTTTCTAAGTAAACATCCTCTACAGAGAAAACACTTAAATATGACATTTTTCTGCTAATTTTATTGCACAATTTAAGTTTATTTGCTGAGTTTAACATATTGAAAAAAAACATGAAATATACAATGTGCCATAACTTTTGCACAGGCCACATTTTATGTTGTACAACTAGGTGAGCTCTCCGATTGGTTACGGCTTCAGGAACTGAACCACTAAGATAATTATCAACTGACGGAAGAATTAACCAATCACATTTTGATTAGAATTTAACGGGGAAAAAAGTCAGTCTAGGTTTCTGGAATGCATCTAAAATGTTCATTTAAATCTGCATTAGCTCAGCACTTCCTACACGGGTGCTAGCAGAAATTAGCATTATTGTAGAAGTGTTCTTTCTTTCTTATTTCTGTTTTATTTTCCAATTTTATTATTAATGGCCTGAACTCTAATAGTTATGGTTCACCATTACTAAGTAACTCTATTCCTTTTCATGGCCTCCTATTAGAAATACTTATCTGCCAAATAAAACAGGTAGTGTCAGCCTTGTCCAAAAGTTCAAGGCTGAAAACAAGCATAGTGTAGATATTTCCATACTTGAACTTAATGTATACCTTTCTGAACTGCACTTGCTCAGGTTACTAAGTGGCTCTTCGGGTTAGTCATTGTGCTCTATTGTGCTGGTTCCTTCTGTCAGCACTAAAATATAAAATATACCCCCCCACCAGTTTTATTCCGTATGTGTCTTTGATGAATGTGTGATCTGTGTTGTATTTTATATCTGAAATGAGTTGGAAATCTGGTAGTCGCCCCATCAAAGTTAATGTAATTCATTCCATCAGCAGTAGAGAGCAGCAGTGCACAGCGATGGAAAAATGCCTCTCCACCTTAGTGCTGCACAATGTGTCACATTCAAATATGTGGCTACATATAGTGTCCTCTGAAATTACTGACTCCTTTGGTTAAGCTGTGAAAATTTGTCTTTGAGCTTGCTCTTTTACCTTTAACCTTCCAGTGATGCAAGTGTCACAACTCATTGCATGCATGAATTAATTTATCTGTGTATTCTTCCTTTGCCAAGACAACAGTATATATATAATGCTTAATGAAGTGAGACAAAGTATGAAAAAGAAAATAAGACCTTTTCTCCTCCTTAGGTCATCCCATAGGTTTTCACTAGAGTTTGGGTCAGGGGACTGTGATGTTCTAGTTTTAGCCCTGTGAAAGAAACATGATTTTTGATATAAATCTGTTATTTCCATGAATCCAGGTATAGTCCATGTAAGATTAGCAGAGGCTTTGGAAGAAAACAACCTCACAAAACCACAGATCCACGAACGCACTTTACTGATTTCATTTGTGTATTTCCTGATCTTCCCCATGTTGATGGATGACTAAGTGTGCCACCTCACTCTCACAGTCTCACAGTGAGACAAGACACCATAGATGACCATGTAAGAGCACCTCAGATTCAAGTGTAAAGCATGAATGTAGATAAATAGGAATAAATATATGTAGGCCTGGATCATCCAATTGGTTTTATGGGCATGTGCCCAGAAGCCCAAGCCACTAGGGGGCCCCTGTGAGCAATTTTGTGAAAATCCAAAATTTTATTAATCATTACTTTGGTCAAGCTTTCGGGTTTTAAGCAGTGAGCCAGTGTACCTTTGATTATACTTTGAATTTGAAGCTTCAGATGCAAAAAATGTGCATGACGGATCTGTAAAAGCCAAATATAAAAAGTAAGCCACCCAAGTTAAAGAAAAAATTTGCATCGTCCATCATGGCAGTATACTTTAGCTTGTAATACTTGACAGTTTGGAATTTTAAGTTTGCTGCTTTTTTCTGTTTTTATGTCCTTTTCAGCTGTCCGATTTTACTTTGCTGTCTTCATTTGGGCACGTGTTTTGTTTGTCAGTAGTGGAGGGAAATATTGCTTCCGTTGTTGGGTTTATGTTAACCTGTACTCTCTTTAGTGTGGGCGTAATCTTGCTATTGTTTTTCTCGACTGGAAAAAAAACAAAAAACAAAAAAACGTATAGTTGTGGCACGGCCTACAGCGCTGTTAACATACTGTCTTAATAGTGCTGCACAGCCCGGATTTCACCTGCTGTGATATTGTAAAAAATTCCCTGACCTCTCAAAAAAGGTAGCCACATAGGGGCCCACCAAACATTTGTGCTCAGTGGCCAATAACTTAATGATCCAGGCCTGAATATGTCAATTAGATTTTCACTGTAAAATCAAGCTGATACACAGTAAAACAACTTGTTTATAGCCCTTTTATGCAGAATTTTTATAGCCTTTTTTTGCACAACTTTTCTAAGGGTGAATGTTAGTGGGCCCATAAACATCATGCTGCAGTATAAAATGTTTACTGTTAGTGAGAAAATGTGGTCAAGACTTCAAGCAACCACAACTGTAGAGTGTTTTTATTTATGGAAAAACTTGGGCTATCTATATAGAGGTGATTTTCCCCTCTGTGACCCTTGAGCCATACGACCACAGACACCCACCCACGCTTTGCGCAAGCAAGAAACTCGAAGATGGGCTGTGGTTAGCTCTGTGCTATCTTGCATTGGTCAGGTTCTATGGCCACGGTACACTTTCACAGACCCCCTCCCCTTTCTCTCTACCTCTCTCTGTTTCTCTCTCTCTTTCTCACGCACATACACAAGGCCAAAGTTTTCCACACTTAAACAGCAGTACTGTTAGTGATTGGTTATCATCTTGAACACTGCAGCACAACACAACACATGAATGGACAGTAAAAGTTTAATTTCTTTTCATACAATAAGTAATATATTAAAAATAACATTTCCCAATAGAAGCACTGTATATAGTGTTTCCACTACTTTTTCTGATCTTTGCTTGATGCTAATATATTTGGGTGTGAAAAAAGCTTTTCTGTGTCTGAAATTCCAGAGCACAATTTTGACATCAAACAAAATACAACAGCAAAAAAAGGAAAAAGCTGCAGATCCTTCAACATTTACATGGCCTTCAACTAAGTGCTAGTGAAGAAGGTAGAGTCAGATGCTGGATGAAGGATGTTTATGAAAACACACACTCTGGAGGCCTGAGCCTAGCATTACTTTCACTCTGACATTTGTTCTTGCTTTTGTTAAGTGTGAAGTTCCAAGTCCAGACTTGGATATATTGGCCTACTGAGCAAACTACAAGTCACACTGATATGTTAAAGTCAAAGCAACCAGTCTCAATAAGAAGAAATTAACTTAAAGGAAACGTTTAGTTAAAAAAGCCAATTTTGCTAATAACAAATGAAAATAAACAGCCAGCAGTTCTCATCATGCAAATAACTTCATGCTGATTGGTGGCTACTGGCTTCTACTGACTGTTAGCCACTGTAGCATGTTTGGTCAAGCTATTCCTTTAAACATGTTGTGATGACCTACAGAATGACTCGATCTAACAAAATCATAATTCATACACACTTTACTTGGACCCTGCTAAATAACATAGACATATCTATTCAATGTGCATATCATGGCAAGTATTATATTCATTCATTTCATTTTCATCCCATTAAGCCCGCTTTGACCGAAGGTCATATGCCACTGAGGGTGCTGCATGGAAGCCACCTTTACATATGAAATCGCAGATGTTCTTCCATTCTGTTTGGTCATGGGTTGCACGTTTCTGGGCCTCTTTCAATGAAATTCCTGATGGTGCCAGATCCTTGATAATTTGTCAAACCATATCTTCTTTGGTTGTATCTTCCAGGTGCTTGGTCGCAGTCTCAAAAGTGCTCTATAAGGCAAGCGGAAATCGTTGGTGTCTTACGTCAGATGTTTCCAAACCACTGAAGATGCCATTTGCGGATTTTGGTCAGGATGGTGGCCTGTTCGCAGCATCATCAACGGATGGTTTCGTTAGGAATTTGGTCCGTCAGTGAAACACCAAGGATCCGACGAAGGCAGCGCGTATAGAATACTTCTAATTTTCACAGATCTGCTTCCAGAACGGTCCAAGATTCAGAGTTCTTTGGTGAGTGATGAAAGACTTCCATACAGGTTCTTGCCTTGGTTTTACGACCAGGCGGCACTGGTCAACCCTCCTCTTTTGTCCGGGCTTAGGACTGGCTGTAGACAACGACGGTTGTAGTTGACCACAGAAGGAGTTGCAAGTATTATATGCTCTCAGGAGCTGTCATAACATTTTGTTCAGTAATATAACAATGTGATGTTAGTATAAGTGGCAATTGTCATGAGAGAAGCTATATTTGATGTCAGAAATAACAGCTTATGTCACATACTAAATTTTGCTAAGCATATTCTAGTTAGCCACCATAACATGAAACTTTATGACATGCATTGTAAAACTTAAGTTATATTACTACACAGAATCTGTCATGGCAACTCATAACAGGATATGACATCTGCCATGACATGTTTATGGCATGATTATGTCAATGTAATGTAGCAGAGTTCAAGTAAAGTGAACTCTTTACAAAAATTAGATAGAATTATTTTTATTTATTTATTTATTTATTATTATTTTTAAGACAAAGTGAGACAGTGCTTTAATCTTATTGGACACTGCTATGGCCTACTGACAGTATATTCAAATCTCATGTAGAGCAACAAAACATTTAATCAACGCCCCCCCCCACCCCAGCCTTTCCACTTTCCTTTCTACAGTCATACAGCATTTCTCACTCTGTTCTCTGTGCTTTGACTGCACTGGTTGGGTCTCTTTTTGCCAAAACTGATCAAATATTGGAATTACCTTTTTGGAACATGATTCAACAGAGTAGCTTTTTAATATAAGGCCTATTAGAAAATAATAATAAGCCTTATTATTCAGTAACTACAAGGACTCCAATGCAAACCAGTTGAGCTATTCATATGTTATAAAAGTATGTAATATTACTTTGGGCCTGCTAGCAGGCCCTGGCCCTTTAAGGGGTTAAAAGAATTACATTTTTCAGTTCTATAGGCAGCAATAAGCTAGGCTACCACTAATAGCCTAATGTTGGTACTTACATACACATAATCAGGCCTGTTATGAAACATCCTGGTTGATACACATTGATAAATATGACATGTTGTCATGGTCATGACATGTTAGAACTTAAAAGTGTATCATAATAAATCATAAACCTTAGTGACTTTAACAGGGGTCCCACTTTTCCTAGCATGTTCAGATTTCAGATTGTGACCATTCGCTCCACAACAATGCCAGGCCAATAAAACCAAATGCAGAATGGCAGGCAAGGGTGTGATAATTATTCACGATAGGTACATTTGCTTGTGCTATTCAAAAAGCAATACAGCATGAAACTTAATCGTCCCACTTAACTGTCCTACTGATGGCCTACTTTTGCTGAACCTAACCTACATCATTTCCTCATGAATAAAAATACGTATCTTTCACTTTACTTACTTTTGGCATTAATTGTGTTACTTTTAATCTGAAGTAAATTCAATGCATCACTTCAGTGTATGTCTCAGACAGCATATCTACTACATTGGGCCACTGACCTACCAGCCAGCAGGTCTTCAGCCTATCAGGTGCAGCTTCACGTCATCTTAAATATCATTCGATTGTATACAGAGTCTTGAAGAGCACCCCGAATGTTTCCACATCTGCAGAGATGATTATAATATGGGCAATTATTTTTCTTCTCAGAACTGGTGAGTGGCAGCTATTTTTATTGATATGGCAAATTACATCACATTTACTACTATAGTACCTGTTATACATGTTTGTTTTTTCTTTGTTGTTTTTAGGTATGGTTCAACTTCAAGATGCATCAAATGGTACTATTCAATCTGTGAAACTTGGGGACAATGTAACAATCAAATGCCACATGCCTCAGAAAAGTGTCACCACAATGGTGTGGTACAAGCAGAGCATTGGCCAAAGTCCTAGACCAGTGGCTTTCTCCTATAATTACCTAAGTGATACCAAATTTGAGGATGAGTTTCAAAATGGTAGATTTAATGCATCACCAAAGAGAGGGTCCTTTCACCTAAACATTACTGCTGTCACTCAGGAGGACACTGGAGCGTACTACTGTGGAATAGTGTTCTTAAATAGACTGCAGTTTGTTTCTTGGACATTTCTGATGCCAACAGGTAGAAACTGACCTTTTTTCTTATTATATGCTATATTTATACTTTTTTTGCAGCCAAATATCCTAATGTATGTACATTATTTATACAAGGTACAGAGACAAATTTGAATAACATAAAACAGCCTATGTTGGAGTTGGTTCATCCAGGAGACTCTGTGACTCTGCAGTGTACAGTGCTCACTGAGAGCTGTTCAGGAGAACACAGTGTGTACTGGTTCAGACATGGATCAGGAGAATCTCATCCAGGAATCATTTACACTCATGGAAACAGGAATGGTCAGTGTAAGAAGATGACCAAGACTGGTTCTTCTACACAGAGCTGTGTCTACAAACTCCCCAAGAGAAACCTCAGCCTCTCTGATGCTGGAACTTACTACTGTGCTGTGCTCATGTGTGGAGAGATACTGTTTGGAAATAGAACTGCATTGAAAATAATGGGTAATTTTGAATTCTTTATCATCATGTTGACATAACATTAAGAACAATGTGATAATTTGCTGAGAGGTTTTGAAAGTGCATCAACACAGTGTTTCAAATAACCATGCTATAAGACCATTGCAACCACTAAAACAATGACCAGTCTCTCATTTACATGTATTTTGTTCCAGAAACGGGAAGCGAAGATGATTGGGATCCTGTAGTTCTTGGCTTTGCTTGCACAAATGTCCTTTTTGTGGCTGTAATTGTTGCACTAGTTTTTGATCTGTACAATAACTGGAGAAAGAAGATTAAAGGTAAGGGTTTATTTTACTGCAGCTACTGAATAGAACAAGGCAATATATAGTATGAAGAAGCATCTTTGCACATTTTGCTATGCGAGCATATGGGTATTCAGATCTTCTACTTCGATTTTCAGATTATTGGCAGTCTAATTCAACCTATTTGCAGTGCCCTGCTGAAAGCCATTTGTGGTTCAACTTGAGCTTTTTGATTGCCTGGAATATTGCAACGCAAAATAATCAAGTTAGATGAAGTATCTGAACTACTGATCTATAATAAACTAAGCACTAAAGTAAATCAATGCATCACAGTTTATTATTAACAACAGGGAATGAGGCTCCTCTACTCCACAGAAGTCCAAGCCAGAAGTTAATAGGAATTGATTTCGATTTGGATTAATGAAAAATATTGGATTACTTTGCTTTGTTTCTTTCACCGTACTTTCATTCATTTAAATTTTCAGGTTGAACTGAAGATTTTTTAGAGTGCAGAAAGTTTTAGTTATTTATGAACATTTATTGATTTTTGTGGAATAAATGATTCAGTGCTTATTGATAACATCAATAAGATCAAAATGATGACCAGATATCTTTTTAAGTATGGCAAATAAACAAAGAACCTTTAATAAATAGCTAGGATTTTGTTTACATTTGACTAAAACAGAAAAAAAATATATGTAAAAATGTATGTTAAAATATCTCGACAACAGCACAAATTAAGATTCTGTTTTCTTCAAGGGGCCACAAATAATTTGACAGACCACCCACATCAGGTAAATATTCACTTGTAATGTTTTTATTGTACATTGTGCACTATAGCACATTATATGTACATGTTTAACTATAATTTAAATGAAATACTACTACTACTACTACTACTACTACTAATAATAATAATAATTAGATTATTCCTTTACATTATTCTCTTATTATAGGCTCGCACTCCTGCTCTGCAGTACACAGATGATCTGAATTATTCTGCTGTGAGTTTCATCCCAGACCATTCAACATCAAGAAAGGCCAGAAGAACAACAAGCAAGGATTTGTCTGTGTATGCAGAAGTCTCTTCCAAACCAAAGGACTGAATCCCCTTCAGCAACTCTAAAATAGTACAGTTACTCCTTAAACTTGAAACTCAAATAACATAAAAAAACACCCCTCAAAAATATATATATTTCTTTAAAGAACTGCATTACTGTAATCCATGTTAATATATATATATATATATATATATATATATATATATATATATATATATATATATATATATATTAAGCCTAAAATTGTCTCTATGACTAAGTAATTATTACAAAAATACTCATATAAATTACTGTGCTAACAGCTGAAGAACACTTATGCAAAAATGGACTATTATCTTAACACTTCTAAATGTTTGTTTATTTCATCCAAAGGTGTGGCTTTGTCCTGGAATTATCATTCAGTTTTGCCTTATGTCTTTGTTTAACTCATGTATGAATTTGAATAAACATAGTATGATTGGAAATGTTTCATGTTCCTTTAAGCCACATGATTTTCTAAGTGAAAATAAGTGCACATCCTCTACAGAGAGCACACTTCTGCATACTGTAATGCACAATTGCTGTTGAAGTTAGCATATTGGGAAATTATTATTACAAAAATATTGTCATTATTATTATTATTATTATTATTATTATTATTATTATTATTGTTGTTGTTCTTGTTGCATCAAAGCCGTGCTCCAAATAGTTTCTTATTATGATTTTATGCTCAATGAACTGCTAAATGAAATTATGATATGTTTGCTGTTTCCAAACAGTATTCCTACATTTCTATCAAAGCTATGAATAATGTATTTTACTATCAGATGCATTATAAACAAATAGTAAAACAGATTCCAGATTAAACTTTACAGGAACTGCCCTTTTTAAGAGGTAAATTATTTTTCCAAATTATTTTTCCATATAGTTACTGGAGGAGGTCATGCAGAGACATCCAATAAAGGTCCTACTTTGCTGGCCACATTCATAACTAAAAACATTTGGAGCAGAGTTTGGAAATTTTAAATGGTTGCATGAATTACAAAAGTGTTTGAATTTCTTCATTGAAAACTATGAGGTGACCAGCTAAGCCTGAAGTTAGTTTGAGCTGAATGATGCATGAAAATTTATTAGTTCCCTTTTTAAATTTGGGCTGCAAAAAGCACCTACATTTCTTTAGGGAATAAAAACATACAAACAACTTTGTAATTAACCCCTTAAAATCCCAGGTTTATTACATACTAAGCCTTATTATTCAGTAACTACAGGGACTTCAATGCAAACTGGCTGAACTATTATTAGGTTATAGAAGTGTGTAATTGTACTTTGGGCCTGCCGGTAGGCCTTGGCCTTTTAAGGAGTTAAGATTGTGAATGATTGTTGTTTTGATTAACCCTTAGATTTAGAGTAACATTAATAGCCTTTTCAATGGACATCATAACAACTTTCATTGATTGTCATTTTTATAACTATGACAGATTTTCTTTCAGTGCTAACAAAGCATCTCAGATGTTTATTTCTTCTATACCGAGACATTTTGTCAGTATACATGCACAGATATAATAAAATAAGGTAGCCTGTTATTTACCTCATGTCAAAAGTTTACAGTAACAGTTTATAATAACAGGCCACTGTAAATAGAAAAATAATCATTCTCTAATAGTTTATTAATGATCATTAATAATTATATTATTGTTGCTTATGCATTAATAAGTGCTACCATTTGAATTATTAGCCATTTACTCAGTGACACAAATGATTAAAGCACTGTAAATGATTTTCATAAATGTATTATATATAAGTGGGTATTTTTATTAATTCATTGTAAAGTTGGAACCTTTTTAATTAGGGTCCAATTAATGACCATTAATGTTATATATATAAAAAACTCAAAAAATATTAGATATTGATTATTAGGGCCTGATTTTACAAAATCAACGTTCTTTTATAAGTACTAAGAAGCAGAACTTCATGTAAAAGATATCAAATATAATACATATATTTTAATCTCAGTATAAACCATTTCCAGTATTTATAATTGCCATCCAGCACTTGCTTCAGCTTATCAATCCTTTGTCAAATCAAATCAGGTGTGCTGCTGTTGGATTTTAACAAATCTATGTACTGGCTGACTGCATAGAGGAGAGGATGAACCACATGCATTCTTACAACACAGGGAAGGCCTGCAAGGCCAGAGTCCTGCACAGTTTAGTGGTTTTCCTACTCAAACACACCTGATTGAACTGAGCAGCTAACTGCCCGGTTTGGTAGGTGTGTTAAGAGCAGTAAATTTACCAGCCTGTACACAACTCTGGCACTCCAAGACTAGAGTTTACAGTCACTGGTCCAGTACAGTCAAGCTGTACTTGATTAGATTCTCCAGATGACCTTGGTTGACAGTCTTGATTGTGCCATTACTTTAGGTCAAGACAAAGAAGCCTTTCACTCAGACAAGAAGAGCCTCCAGTTTAGATTTAGGTCTATATCTCAAAACAAAAGATATCAATAACTCTTCTAAAACAAGAATTTTGGCTACTATTTTTTAGTTTTTCAACCTTCACAGCTGCCTAAGAGTTTCATACCGTACTGTAGACGCTCATTTCAGCTCAGTATGACGCATACGTTAAGTTCAGTGTTTTTCTGGGCTTTCTGCCCAACACGTCTGAGTCAACTCACCAGACCCAGATGAGCAAGCCCTTTATGAGTTCAAACCGACAAAGAAGGTCAAGAACATGATCTTGATATTAGAAGAGGGGGCTACTGTTCTTCACAAGGCAGGATGATATCAGTCAAAACAGTCTGTGGACTGTCCAGGCCAAGCAATACCTCTCCAGACAACAGCAGAGCTGGGTGGTAACATGCTACATTTACTCATTTCCAAGTAAGATTTAAAGGATTTGTGCACCTACGTTTTCTCAGATGATAATACTTTACCTTCTACTCGAGTTCACTGATGAGGAAAATAATCTACTTTTGACTCAGTTACATTTTAATCATTAACATTTACTAATTTCATTTTTTCCGTTTCTCTGTTTTGTTATTGGTCTCACCTCTGACTTCATCATTTAGTTTTAGACCAAGGAGAACAGCACCTAATAAACTTCAGCTCCTCTGCTGATATACGCAGAATATACTAAGAAGTTCCTCTCCAGTTCTGTAAGTTACTCAGCAGTAGTTTTTTGGACCTTACAATCTACCCACCTCTGAACAGCAGAGGGCACAACACTGCTTTAAGAAAACAACAGCATTACTGTGAAGTGGGGAGAGCTCAGTGACTTGATTAGATCCTCCAGAAGGCCTTGGTTGACAGTCCAATTTAGGTCAAGTCAGAGAGGCCCTTCACTTAGACAAGCTCTGGCAAAGCCTGTTTTAGATGAAACTTCAAACCAATGAGACTAGTTATATAATGGCTTTCACCATATTCTGTCCAGCATTTAGGAGGAAAGACGTCAGGGATGCCACCGTTGTACACAGATAGCACATGCTAAGTTGTATAATGCATTTGTAAACAATGTTTTTGCGAATGCATACAACTCAGCTGTACATAAACTGAGTGCACTCTTTATCAGTGTGATTTCAGGAAAGACTGCTTAGTCAGCGACACCCCCCAAGAAAAAAAACTTTCAAAGTGAGAAGGCTTGTGCCTATTGGTTGAGTGTAAAAGTAAAAAAGAGAATATAGGGCTATTTTTGTGTGTGTCTGTGTGTGTTGTGATTGTATTTGGACAGTGTTTCC